CGGTCACTACTCAAGCTTGTAATGCTGTGAATACCACACGCTATATGCGTCTACTCTGTCAAGGACTCTGCCAGGCGGTCGGTTCTTCAATCTTGATGATGATCAGAAATCGCATCTTATTTCTAGGGTAGTAAAACAGATTGTTAATGATAGTTATGATTCAAGGGTACTCTTCTTTCGGAAGATGAAAAGAAGAGCTATCTACGTGCTGCATTGACAAGGATCTTTCTGGATGATACAGTAAGTTTATTCTTTCATTTCCAACTGCCTTTTTGCTGTCTTTGAATCCTATTGGTTTCTTAGAGCGTTGCTATCAAAGCCACAACTTATGCTCTTTTATCTTCGGCAGCTCAGTGGTTAGATTGGATGCGTGAAAAGAACGATCCATTTTTCGTGATTCTCTCAGTTGCTATTACCTCGACTCAGGTGCGTGTTTTACCAAATATATTTTAAAATTGAATCTTTTGATTCTTGGTATATACTGCAACTTTTTATTTGCTTATGAAACCTTATTTTTATACTTTCTATGTTTTTCTCAATTAATATCAATTGATTTATGGGTGTATTCATAGACCGACGGAAAAATACTACTTTGGGCATGGTTCCAACAGTTTCCTGAAGAACTGCAAGTGCAAGATGTATCTCCTTCGAACCTTAAGAAAACATTTGATGAACTTTTGAAACGTTTGGATGAGTCAGCCGCAGAAAGAGGCTCTCACGTAACAGGTGCAGATGCTTCCAAGCAGGTTAGATATAAATATGTTTGTCAGTAATTCTCCGAATAAATTAATTTCCAATTATACTATAGCCCTTGCAGCCTACCCAGGAAGAGGCAGGTCTAATCAATATGGCCAGCTCTTACTTTTTACCTGGTAGTGGGGCTGTTGTTGTCACCAGAACGGTTGTGGATGATATGTTGAAAGATTGTGTCAGCCGCATCAAGATAGCATTAAATCCTCGTGCTACGGATGGTAAGGTTCACTTACTTTATACAGTTCTGCTTGATCAAACACAACTTACTTTAGGTGAAAAAGAATGGACGAGAGCATTCATCGTCAACAATCGATTGAGAGTTTGCATCAATTTGGCGTTAAAAGCTATTGATTCTAGAGAAAATACAGCTCTCTGTCGCGAGTTCTGCGCCTTGCTTCAAAATGATATTCCTATGGTTTGTTATATGCTTATCTTCAATATACTCTTCAACAGGTTATACTGCTTTATTCATTATTATTGCCCATAATAGTCTAATTTAGGTTCGAGAAATTTATGAACGATACTTTATAGAACTTTCGTTTTTGAACAGCCATGATAAAGCTCATACAGTAGCATAATTTCTTCATAGTTGTGGATTTCTACGCCCTCCGTGCTAAGCTTATGAGCTTTGTCTTTGTACTTGATAATACTTGTAAAGCTGATTTTGAGGAATTCTCTTTTACGTTATCGACTAGAAGTCCTTTCTTAATCTGTAAATCTAATCATCTGAAAGCGTAATGCAAATAGGCTGGTTGCCAAAATTTGCAAAATTTTTCAACTTTTGCCAATGGATTTCACACCATGTTT